GGAGCCCAGAAGTGTCCGCAACTTGGGAGCACCTTGAGCGGCATCCCAAGACGGCGGGCGCTGGAGGCTGCTCTAGGGGTCCCGTGGGCGCCCTGAGCATCTCCTGCCAGGACCATGCCCAGCTGGGAGCCGGAGGGCCCAGCCCCTCCACCTGCTGTGCGTCGGCCAGGCCCGGGGAGATGACCGGTGGTGAAACCTCGCCACCCGGCAGTGTGTGCCCTGTGGGACGCTGCAATTTGGGGAGCACCGCCAGCAGTCTCACAGTGGACCAGGGAGCTGACCAGGGCCACAATGAGAGACGCCACCTCCAGAGGCCTCAGCATGGCCTGGAAGGACCTGCCGGGCACAAGCCCACCAGGAGCCCCAGTGCCGTGTCCTGAGGGCAGGGCCCAGAGGCCGGGAGTGGGGGCGCGAGAGGGGCTGGCAGAGGCTGAAGGTGAGGCCCACCCCAGGGGTCGCTCCGGGCCGCCCTGAGCCTGGACGATCAGCAGCGGAGCACGAGACAGCCGAGCTGACCACCTGCACAGATAGCCCCACCCCCGAGGGCCTGCGGGGCCCCGGGGCCACCCAGCGTGCACCCACATGCAGGGGCCCGCGAGCCAAGGAGGGGCCTCTGCCAGGAGGGGCTGTGGCCTCACTCGCCGTCTTCCTAGCACAGAGGTTTGGTCGTTCACGATGCCAGAAATGAGAAGCTGAGCCCCAGAGTCGGCCGGTGTCCTCGAGAAGACACAGGCGTCACGCCGCACAGCCGCGCAGCACGCGCCCCGCCAGCCAGAGGCCCCCCTGGGCCAGCCGGGCGTCACCGACAGAAGTCGGCCTCGGCCACGGGGCTGGTCTCTAGACACAAACACTCTTCATGGCATCAGAAACGTACACAACAAAGTCTCCGTGGCGTCTGGGTACGATTCAGTTTTTCAGCGGCCATCTCGGTGCTTGACTGGAGGGAAGATATGTTTCCTTCACAGCCCTGGAAAGCCACTACCTTTGACCAGGGGACAGTGTCGGCAAGCATCTGCCCTCGGCTGGGGACGGCTCAGACTGTGGCAGCGTCCTCCCGAGAAGGCCCGTCCGGGACCAAGAGCCGCGTCTGTAAAGCTTAGCGACGTCCCTTCGCTGGCGAATGTCACTGAGGAAGTTAGAAGTTCCAGTGGGCCCGTTGAACGGGGACTTGCAGGCTAGCGCTCGGGGACGGGGAGCCTCAGGGCGAGGTGCCGGTACCCCACCGGAAGACAGACTTTCACTCCGTGGCTGCCCTTGGGCGCCTGGGCCCCGTAGCACCTGCCCGCCCGCGGGGGGCCCCTCTCCAGCTCCGCCCAGAAGCCCTGCATGGCCGCGACATGCCGCCGGGACTGCTGGCAAGGGGCTGCCACGGTGGCCGGCTTCAGCCCCCAGCTCTGCCCTTGCCCTGCCGGGCCTTGCTCTGACTGTGGTGCCCTCACTGGAGGTGGCATGGAGGACGGAGGCATGCCCAGCAGGCGCTGACTCAACCCTGGCGCTAGCTCAGCCTCAGGCACAGCCCGTTCCTCAGTGGTCACCTACTGGGGGAGCTTCCAAAGGCAGGCACCCTGGGCGGAGCTGAGTCCTTTACTACTTTGTCTCCACAAGGCCTGGTGCTGGGTGCTGGGCCAACCTTCTCTGAGTTGAGCCTGCATGGGAAGAAAGCCTGGACGCGCGCCTCAGATCATGGGAGTAGGGGAGAGGGCAGGGGCCACGGTTATCTGGAGCTAAGTTAGAAGAAGTGCTTGCCTTCAAGGAGCTTAAGCTCCGGCAGTAAGAAAAAGAAACAAAACAAGTACAACTTAAGGTCGCGTCGTAAATTAATTGGCTGACAAACAGCAAGGTGACAGCAGCCACCTTGTTCTTTGAGTTGACGTGATGCCCTAATTCTAGATGTTGGGAAATACTTGTGAAGAGGGTGTCTGAGCTGAGCCTTCCACTGTGGATGGGAATCTGACAAATGGATGGACTCTGCTCCTCCATCCCAGCCAGTGCAGACATCATTAATTGATCACCCAGCGGCATGACAGACACGAGTAGTTGCTTACTCATCGAAAGCTCCCTTTCCCCGCTGAGCTCTGTAATCCTTTCAACACCGGCTCCCGGGCTCATGTCCCCGGCAGTTTATTCACCGCCCTGTCCCTTTTCCGGCTGGGAACCCATCCGAACCCAAGCAATTCCAGAAGGGACAGGCGACCACTGACAAGCCAGGGTGCCTTCTCAGGCCTCGGGTGCCCTCCCTCTCCTGCGGTTTGGCCTTAATTCCAGGTCTGCCTCTCCTGAGACAGCTCGTCCATGCCCCCCGCAGGGCAGAGAAGGGTCTGGCCCCTGTCCACGTGACCAAGAACACAACTCCACGATGTCCCCGTCAGGGCAGACCACAGCCCAGGGGCCGGCACTGTTCGTCACTAGCCGCGCGTCAGGTGCGTGCCCTGGCATCGTCAGACACGGTGCTCACCCAGGGCTTCAACAGCCCTGAGGAGCTCGTGAGATGAGCTCGGCAAGAGAGACTGTCTGCGACAGGCCGCTCGCAGCGCCCAAGCCGACTGTGCGGACCCCGAGTTGGCGTATTTCCGACTGCACCTCATAGACTCCGGCTGCTATTGTTAACTGCCCAGAGTACCCTCGTGGACAGCCAGGCCAGGCCTAAGATTAGCAGTCCTTTGCAATTTGCTATTCAGTCTTATACAGCAGGCAGACATCAAATGGGCCATAATTATGATTTAAATACCGTGAGATTCTTTTGTCCACTTCTGATTCCCTATTGTACGCGTGTATTCTCAGCCCAGAGTAATCGTCTGAAGTCCCTAACTTTCTCGACTTCAAAGGCTGCTCAGCGCCTGGGTGACAGGAGCTTCTTGAGCTGGAATAGTAAGTGGGTCTACGCGGGGTATAAATCGTGCACATCTGAGACCATCCCGGCTTCAAAACCGTCGGCGTTCATGTAGGCGTCCGCTGGAAGATTCCACCCTTGCGTGAGGCCCCATTATAAACATCAGAGCGGAGGAAACTTGGGGGGCGGGGGGAGCCTTGTTCGTTCGCCTTGGCTTTGTCAGTCTTCCCCGCACAATGCATCCCACAGGCCGTCCCAAGTGCCCTGCGGGCCCTGGCAACCACGCACCGTCTCATCAAAGGGCGCCAGGACCCCCGTTACTTTGGGGGGCTGATCACCCAACACGCTCTCTCGGGGGCCTGCAGCCCTGCGGAGCTCAGCGATCAGCCGGAACCCTGCAGAGGTTCCAGTAACACGGAGCCTCCGATACTGATCGGTGGGCTCTTGCCCCTTCGAGGTGGGCAGTTTTGCGCTCCAAAGTCCGGGGGGTCACGACCGCCAGGGGCCTCTTGTGGCGCGGGGCGCGGCCACGGGCTTCTGCCTGACCACCAGCTGCAGACATATGCAGGCGGCGGGTTCTGGCGGCTGGCCCGGGGTCAGCCATTGCCGGAGCCCGGCCCTCCTCCCCAAACTCGGCCTCCTTTTCTGGTTTCCGAGAAGCCAGACACTTTCTCCAAGTGACCGACTCGGCCTACCCAGACGTGCTCACTGCATACTCCGTGGTGTAAGTAAAACACAGCGCAGCGTGCATGACGGCGCTACTCCGGCGTCTCCACGGGGTTCTGCACGCGAGTAATTATTTCCTTCCGCCCACCATGGGCAGAGCCGCGGTTCCGCCTGGCCGGCGGGCAGAGGCAACCCTTTCCCCTGCCGTCACCCTCGGCAGGATACCCTGGGAAGTAAAAGCACCCTTCGTCAGCTGGCCTCACCAGCACCCTCTGCCTTTCTTTTCTTCAAAACCAGATTTATTTATTGATGCGTAGAGCTGGGCTATAGGCTAACGTGCAGATGAAGGGTAAGCGCTCATGTTGCTTCTGTCGGCAAACTAAGGGGGGGGTGAGAGGACTTCCCAGAGACAGAGCGGGGAGTAGAACAGCAGATCTACTGAAACACACTGCTGAGGGGAGCAGCGGGCCGTCAGGAGAGGTCTGCGGCGCCGTGTGGGTCCCTCCCTGTCCGGGGATCGAACCTGCGCTGCAGTGTCTGCCACAGCTTCAGGTGCCGCACTTTAACTAAACCATTGCGCCCCAGGGAGGCCGGCACCCCCTTCTGCCCCTCCCTTCACGCGCGCTGTTCGTGGTCTGGAGCCCGCGTTCTCGGCCGTGAGCCCCGCAGCCTGTCAATATCTGCGCTGGGTGTTGTCCACAGCTTGGAGAACATGGTGGTGTCCACTCCGAACAGCGCCGCGGCCTGTCTCTGGTCCTCAGGCTGTCCCGTGGGAGCCTGGGGGCGGACAGCCGGCTGGCTCTGCGCGGCTCTTCGACGTTGATGCCCAGAGACAGACGTGTGGAGCCCTGGGTGCCTCAGGCCCGGAAAGGGGTCCCCAGCGTGCGTGAGGGCGACGCAGAGCGCGTGTGTCTCCAGCTGATCTCCCCTCCGTGTCTGTAGCTTCGTGTTCGGTTTCCAAAGCTCTCTGCCGGCTGCCCTCAGGGGCGCCACGCTGGTCAGCCCACGGCAGGGGTGTCGTACCCCCCTCGGCCTGGCCTCGCCACCTGGGGCTACGGCCCTGCCCACACCCCGCCTCACCCCCGCCTCCTGGATGGTGGCTCCCCCAGCCACCCCCGTGGGTCATTTTAATTAATGTGCCCTAATCACCGTGTTAATATTAATACATCATGTTAATCAGCAATACATCAATTGCGTCGTCTAAGGGCACAGTCACATAACTAATCTTTAAAAATGACATTCATTTGCGATGACACAGATTTTTCTTATTCAGCACTGATTCACGAATTGGAGCATAAAGACAACAAAAACATCTGTCCACGGCCGCCGCAGAAAGCCGCCGCCTCGCCTCAGCACCGTACTTCCCACGGCCGGGAAGCGCGCTGCGGCCGTGGACGGGGGCGGCTGGGGTGCGCCACTGCGGTCAAGGGAGGGTGAGAGGACGCCGTGACCGGGCCGCTGCCGGGCCGCCGGGCCGCAGACCCGGGTGAACAATGTGCCGATCATGACTCACGGCGGGCTAATGACCTTCTGGGGAAACGATTTCATGTCACCATCAGCGTTTCTCGCTCTGAAGGGAGATTCCCCTGGAATCTTCTCCAGCCCCTTGTGGTGCACTGAGGTCATCGGGGAGGCCCTCAGGGGCCCTGGCCCCACCAGCAAGGAGCGTGCCTGGGGCCCCCCAAACTCGGGGAGGGCGCTCGTGGTCAGACCCGCACAGCCGCGGGGCCGTCTCCTGCGCTCAAGGCCCGCGGGCTGTGTGTGTTCGGTGCCTGCAAGAGCCCGGGCCTGTTTCTGTTTCTCTGAATCAGCCTCCGCTGCGGTTCCCTCCTCTGAAACAGCCTCGGGAGAGGAAGTGACTAGTTCCAGATACCAAGAGTCCGAGTCTAGACCGACAGAAATAAAACTCCCGGCGAAAGGAAGCTCCCCCAGCCGTGACGCACCGGCCCCCGCCTTGGCGAGGGCCACCCCTTGGGGAAGCTCCCGTGTGCCGGCCAGCCGGCCCCACCGGCGGGACCGCCAGGGGCGGGCCGGGGCGGGCGGTGCCGGAGCGCTGAGGAAAGCAGTGCTGGGGCGTCTTTGGCTCCCAGCGGACAGCTCGCTGGCTTCCCTGCCTGGCCCTCGGCGATGGACTCCTTGGCGGCCGCGCTCTGGGCTGGGCTCCATCTCCGCACGGTTCTGCTAGGTGCCGCGGTCTTTCTGCTCCTTGCCAATTTCCTCAAAAGGAGGCACCCAAAGAATTACCCG